AAGGTTAAGCCACTGTATTCAGTTCTCAAATACAAGGACCAACAAGAGGAAGCCTTCAAAGAGGGCAAACTATGTGCTTGTGCCCTGTGCTAGAGCTACTAGACATAAGCCAAGATTCACCCACTTTGTCTGTGAAAAAAATCATGTAGCATTCAGGATCTTAACTCAAATGGTTGTACCCTGGCAGAGGCCACTGACATACATGTCCAACCATTTGAATGCCGTTGCCATGGGGCAGCCCCCTTGTCTCTGTGTTCTAGCAGCCATGGTTGTCCTTATTTAATAAAGACGAGTTAACCATGGGACAAGCCATTCAGGTCAAGGTTCCTCATTCTGTCATGCCTGATGAATAGCCAAGGACATAAACGAGTCTCAAATTCCAGAATGACTCCATACTAAGGGCTACTTTGTAAGAACCCTCCAGTCACCTTGGAAACCATTAAGACCCTGAATCTAGTCACCTTTCTGCTGACTGAGGGATACCCTAACCATGACTGTCAGGAAGTCACTGATGAAATGTCCAGTTGGCCCAATTTTATTCATACCATGACTGTCAGGAAGTCACTGATGAAATGTCCAGTTGGCCCAATTTTATTCATATTCCGGAGCCCAGACCAGAAGCCACCCTGTTCATATACTGCAGGAGCTTCATCCAAGATGGAGAACATCTGGCCAGGTATGCAATCACTACCACTGATCACGTCACTGAAACTAGCCCCCTCTCAAAGGGATGGTCAGCACAACGGGCTGAACTCTGGGTTCTCATTCAGCCCTCTGATGGGTAAAAGGAAAGACTGTTAACATCTACCCTGACTCCAAGTATACCTTTGCCACAATTGACATCTGCAGGGCCACAAACAAAGAGAAGACTACTGACTGCTGGCATAAAAAAGATAAAAAACAAGGATGGGATACTCCAATTCCTGGAGGCCATCTGGGAACTGAAGATGGTGGCCACCATGTACGAAGGAGATATCTAAAAGGACAAGATCCTATTACTAGAAAGAATTGGTTGGTAGATTGGTCAGCACAGAAAAACAAAACAGCCCTAAACTAAGAGACTCCTAAAATGTTCATTGCTTCTGTCCAGCCTAGAGAGCCAATAGATTTCCCATAGGAAGATCAATGGGCCTGGGAGGAAAGGAGCACATAAAACTCTAGGAGGATGGTGATGTCGACCTGATCAGAAACCCTATGTACTCCAGAAGATGGCTTTCTCGTTGGCCCAACAATATCATGAACTCACTGATCTAGGAAAGATAGCTTTAGAGACTTTGTGGGGCCAGTACTTCTACATTCGCTGGCTGGGAATGTTGCCACCATAAGTAACTGATGCCACACCTGTGCCCCAAACAATCCCTCCAACAGCCAACGTCCATGTTAGGGATATAACACACCAGGACTTCCCTTTTTAAAGACTTAGAGGTAAACCCATGCCGTGGCTACAAATATCTACTAGACCTTACCCATATTATATGCAGTCATGCTAGGTAGAAGCCATATCCACATGGACAAGCATAAGAAGCCCAAGAAGTGGCCAAGGTCTTATGGAAAATCATTCCCTGGTATGGGTTTACCCTCACTATCGGAAATGACAACGAACCAGCCATCATACCAGAAATAATACATTCAGGTGAATTTGCTGAAGATTAAACAGAATCTCCATACAGCTCATAGACCTGAGAGTCAGGGAAAGTACAGTGCATGAACCATATCCTAAAAAGCACTCCTGCCAAGTTCTGTTAAGAAACCTACCTGCCCTGGGTTAACATGCTATCCCTGGCCCTACTATGGACCTGATGTATACCAGGACCATCTGGCTACTCCCCCTACGAAATCCTGCTCAGAAGACCCCCTTCCATAATTAGATCCTCCAAAGGAGATGTCAGGCAGCTAGGTTAATCAAATCTGACTACTGAATTATAGGCCCTAGAGAAAGTGTTCTCCTATAACAAGTTTGTCTCCAAGAGAATTCAAATGACTCAGGCAGCCCTGCATACTCATTCCTGCCAGGGGGTTCAGTATGGGTTAAAGAATAGAAAAAGGAAACCCTTCAGCCTCTGTGGACCGGCCTTAACACTGTTGTGCTTGTCAACCTGGCTATTGTTAAAGTTGCAAGTACACCACATGAGACTGTAAAAGGCTTACCCCAAGACGTCCCAGCCACCTGGACTGCTCACTCCAACCTGCAAGACACCCTCGAAACTCAACTCTAGCAGCAACTGCTGGGACACAATGCAACCCTAAGGACACTGCTATGAGACAACTTCCCTGCTGTATTCACACTGGAAGCTGACTAGTCTGAGAAGCCTGAGAACATCCTTCAGGGAGGCTATCTCCAATTGTAATCCACTGTCATCCCTAGTTCTTAGCAACCCTTGGGTCTATAACATTGTTCTTGGCTATAGACCTGGCTGAGGTCACCCTGGTCAATTGGACACAAAGTGAAAGTTGTCTGCTGGCCTAACCTCCTTCTTGTGGGTAGGGTGTTTTAACTGATATCATCTGTTTCTGCCCAGCCATCCACTGATACCTCCTCTCCCCCAGACTACTTTCACTTAAAGTCTTAGTCCAACTGGCCATAGAAAGTGGCCCTGGATTTGCTGGGCAGTAATGACATCCTAATCTGTGCCTGTCGTATGCCCTAATTCCTACAATCTCCCAATAACCATGGGTGGATGCCACGGTTCCGGTGGATACTGGGTTTCACTCCTACATCTACACGGCAGCTAACTGCTGCCATAAAGCTACTCCGTGCCAATATACTGGTGAGCATAGTCCAAGGATACACACTTCTGGTTTAGCTATATCACAGGCCTAAGATCACCCCTTCCCCCTGAGGGAAGACTGCTATTATATAAATCAGTCAAGGGTGATCACCACCAAAGTCAGGGAATTAGAAAACAAGATCTAGTGGAAAAGGGAAGAACTAAAAAAGGGTAGAGTTGGATCCTAGGCCAATGGAAATCATGGCCCCTGCCCCTACTAGGGCTACTGCTGACCATCCTGTTACGCATGACAATAGGGTCATGTCTCCTGAACTCCCTAATGAGATTCACAGAGACCATGACACTAGGAGGGCCACTGCCCAGATCAGGGCACCCCGCCCATATAGTCCCCTGGGAGATGGTAATGCTCTATAGAACTGTGTATAGGGTTCGAAGGGGGAAATGATGAAACTAAACTTTGGGAAACTGAAACTTAAGACCAAAATAGATAGCTTGCATAGAGTAACTGTCTTATTCTACTTCTGTTACCTTGCTTCTATTCCCATGTTAGTATCTTGTTGTACAGCCTACCTTAAACTCCATATGCTTAACTACACCTTCTTCTGCCTCTGTAACTCAGATTGAGCATTCCTGCCTAAAACTTCTGTTTAAGACAGCATAAATAAAGGCTCGAGGGTCAGACTGTGGAGTATGCAGCTCCTGTGGGCCTGCCAGAAAAACAAAGTTTGGTTCCCTCTACTTCTTTAAGGGCCACTCGATTTCTTCACCTCTAGTAAATGTAAAACTGCTGTAACATGTTGAAAGCATACAGTTAGTCCAAAGCCCAGGTTCCCTTAGAATTCATTCCTTGATTTTGGGGGACATGCACTCAGCATACTGGACATCTAGCAAGTTGGAAATTATAATATTTCCACTATATTACTGGATTATTTGGAGGTCCTATATCTATATCGAAGCTAGCACAGAAGACAAGAGACACCAAGACCAGAAGGAGGCAACTTTGAAGAATGCCAGGCCTCCAGGTGCAACACACCCTATGCAGACACAGATGCCTGCAGGTAGGAAAAAGACAGGATAAAGGCCTCACTGAGATTTATTAAGATCTACAAGGAAACTTATTAAAAGCAGTTTCTGCTTTCACAGGTAGACTCTGCTGTTAAGAAATTAGAAAGACAGAGGAAGGAGAGAAAAACTAGACTGAAAGAGGCTCCAGCTAACAAAATTACCGTAAGAATTCACCAAAAAAAGAGTGAGAAAAATGAAAGACCAGGAAACCAGCCCCCCTCAACCACCTGATAAAATGAAACGATCGTTAACAGTCAGCAACCTAATGACTTTTAATACATAAGATGCACACATGCACATGTGTACACATACACACACACACCCCATGCACCCAATACACCCATACATACCCACATATACATATATATATATATATGTTCTCATTTTAACATCAATATTATACCAGATATACACATGTACACATGTTCCCTTTACTTAAGTATTAAATAATCTACTTTCCTTACAGATTAAAATATCCTTCGGAGACATAATGAACACATGTAATTTTGAATGTTGCTGGAGTCTAATTCAAATAAACACTTGCTATACAACACTGGGAATTTTGAATAGGATATTAAGAAACTTGATTGTTATTATTTTGCTTCTTAAAAATAAAAAAATTTTTAAATAACTCCAAGAGGCTATGAACCTCCTATTTGACCAAACATCACTGGGTAACACTATAAAAAGAAAATATTCTTCTAAATCCTATAAAGCAGGCTGGGGATTTAGCTCAGCGGCATAAGTACCTATCTGGCAAGTGCAAAGTTGTAAGTTCAATTCCCAGTACAAATAATAATAGTAATAGTAATAAAGCCTATAAAGCTCCATATGAACATAGTATAGTTATTAAAAAATAGTATGTGAAGTGGCAGGTATTAGCCAGGCACTGTAGTATGTACACGTGGTCCAAACTAATTGGGAGGCTGAAGCAGGAATATTCTTTGAGCCGAGGAGTTTAAAATTAGTCTGGGCAACAGAACCATACTCCATCTCAAAAAAAAATGTTAATAAAGAAAATATAAAACAACATCACCCATATTAGGTACAACATGACAAACCTCTTACCCAGTAAAATTTTATTTTAAATTCTTCCTGAGTATTAACAGAATGAACTGAAAAATGTTATTCTACTGTATAATCCTAGAGTCATTCATTATTTACAGAACGTAGCATTTTCCCCATAAACAAATGCATTTATAATACCTTATAATGTCCATTTATCACAGCATCGTGCAGGGGTGTGATCTGGTACATTCCTTTGAAATTTACATCTGCTCCTCCTTTTAATAGTTCTTTTGCTGTCCGATAAAATCCCCCAGCACTAGCTTCATGAAGTGCAGTCCAACCTATACAGAAAAGTTAATGATATTTGTTTATATTTGGCATCTTTAACACTGTTTTGTAGTATCCTTTAAAAAGTTTAATTCTAGAAAGTTTCCCTACAAATTTTTAGTTATTATACCACAATGAATACACTCTGTATAATTTGGTAGATTCTATAAATCTGAGCAATACATCAAATTCCTAACTTTGAACTTCATTACAAAAAATATAAAAAGAAGTCTAATATTTAAAGTGTTTTTATTCCTCCATATAAAAAGCTGTGTAGGTCAATTTTTAGCTAATAAAGCATACGGGCTACAGGCTACTTTTACACATAAAAGAGAGGGAAGGCTTTATATCCTCCTCACTGAAGTAATTCAGGTATCAAGGCTACATTAGCAGTCAATCAAAAGATTTGTATTACTTTTTCTCCTTATTTGCAAACACATTTATTTATAGAAGTTCAACTAAAAAATAACAAATTGCTCCAAGAAAATCATTTGTCCTTATATAAAACAGCTTTTATTTTGTTAGCCAAAGATAATGGAATAACAAAGATAACTGTTAACTTCTAATAAACCATATGACAGATAGAAGGGAACCTTTAAAAGTATATTTTGTTCTTCTCTTTTTTTAACTTTCATATAAAGAAAGACTAAACAAAACAGAAAACAGGTAGAAATAATATATACGTTCAAAGAAAAAATAAACAGTAAGAAATCACTAGTTGATAAAGTGGGGATTCAAACAGTGAGACTGCAACCAGTTCTGTTAAACTATCCAACAAAAACTTAGAAATATGGTTATCAGTCCTATACACTTAAACATACATGCAGTTATCCGTATCTTCAATTATGTTGAGATTGAACAAACTCAAGCAAGCTAATATCATTCTGAACAAAGAATAATAGCATTGCTGGGTATCATACTATGACACTCCAGGATCAGCACTGCATATGCTAGTGTCTCTTTTTCTTCAAAGTATCTGCTCATTTCATCAGGTGTCATAAGATCAGTTTCTCATAAACTGTTTATAGATTCTACACATACATGGGTCTTAGCACGTATTTCTATCCTTTCTACATTAGAGGGAGAAACAAAACAAAGCAAGACAAAACAAAACATATTCCTACAAACACACGAAAGGAAAAAGACATATAAGACTGTTGTACAAGGAGTTCTACCATAATTCCTGTGTTGTCTCATTATCTTCAATAGAATTGGCTGTATCATCAGACAAAGTATAATTGAATATATCAGTACATAACAGAATTAATAAAAACACAACTTTGTATATAGTATAAAACTTCAAAAACAGGCAGTAATCAAACTAGAATGCGTATCATAGTGAGTGTTGTCATCTTCAGTGTAGTTGCCTATTGTCTCAGACTTGATAATATCATATCAGTTTTGAATAAAATCTGTTGATACCAAACAGCAATCAAACAAACCACATTTAACTAACATCAATCATGATAAAACAGTGTAAGTCATACTGGGCTCTAGACTTAGATAGTATGAAATTAAAGATGATTACTGTGCTTTATCCTGATGTTTCTGGGATAGCTGTCTGAGATCTCAAATCTAATGCAAGTAGACAAACTGGGACAGAATAAAATCTTATCTAAGCAGAGTGGTGCGAGTAATGTGGGTTTTAAGTCCTGCTACACTATTAACAATATCTTCTGCCATCTTTTTTAAGACTCTCCCACTCCTTTCACTTCCCCAGGATACACTGTGTATTTGTGGGTCTCACCAAGACCTTTGGTTTTAAATTGGGGGGCAACCTTCTATTTACCTAAGTGGATCCGAACCTTCTCTCTCTTGGACTTGATCTCTAATTGTATTCCTTTACTTATTAAAGCCTGTCTTTCCAACCTATCCACAAATACTGGTCTAGTTTCCCCTAGTACTCTCTGATTCTCGTCACATAGAGCATTGTTTTCTCATATTTGATTTTCAGTCTATGTATTCTTTTTCATGTTAATTATATTTCCTAAAAATAGCATCTTGGTGGGCCCTACCTGCTGACCTACTCTACGTGTGGTTTTTATTTTTTTTTAATTTAGTGTTTCAAGGCCATCTATATTAGAGATAACCAACCTTCTCTGCCTCATTTCTGTTATGCCCTTTTTTTGCCATCAGTTGTCTGCTTCACGTCTTCATTCTGTTTTTTGCTCCATTCATTGAGGCTTCTCTGCTACTGTTCCTGGAACCCTAGTACTTTTCTCTCTCTCTAGAATGCCCTGCAGTATTCTCTGTAGAGCTGGATTGGTGGTTGTGAATTTCCCAAGTTCCCCTTTGTCTTGGAAGCATATTGTCTCTCCATTAATTTTTAGAGACAGTTTAGCAGGGTATATCAATCTGGGATGGAGGTTATTTTCTTTCAAGGCTTGGAATTTTTCACTCTAGGCTCTTCTTGACTTGATGGTTTGTGTCAAGAAGTCTGCCATTATTCTGATGGGCCTTCCTTTTATAGGTGATCTGTTTCTTGTCTCTAACACCTTTTAACATTCTGTTCTTATATTGAATTTCTGGGATCTTGATTATTATATGCCTGGGTGTAGCTTTGTTTTGGTTGTAGGTGGCTGGAGTTCTGTATGCCTCATACATCAGAATATCATTTCCTTTTCCTATGTTTGGGATGTTTTCCTTAATTATTTCTGTGAATAGCCTTTGTAGTTCTTTTGTTTGTACCCCTGCTTCTTCATTCACATTTTTTATTCTCAAGTTATAGATCCTCTTGTCATCTTTTAGCATTTGTATTGTTACTGCTTGTTTCCTTGTTATTTTTAAAAAGGTTTTCCCTTCATAATCCCACATTGCAAAACTGTCCTCCAGTTTGGATAATCTATCCTTAGTTTCTTTCAAGCTGATTTGCCATCTTTCCATAGAGTTTTTAATTTTCTGGTAATCTCTTTGAATCTGCTTCATGTATTCTATATTTTGTTTATATTCTTCATCAAATGGTTCTCTCCTTTGTTTGAGTTCCTCCATTCTTCCATCTGTGTCTTCTTGAGGGGTGCTTAGTATCTCTTTTATTAATCTTCTTATATCTTGCTTTATTTGGCTAAATATTTCACTTTTGAACTCATCTATTAGGTCCCAAAGATATCTCTTTATGTCCACTTGTGCTGTGTCTGATATTGCATGTTTGCTGTTCTCATTCTCCTTTGTATTTACCTGTCCTGGGTCAATGTTCTCAGGGTTGGCACCTGGGGACTTTTTGTTGTTGCTTCCTTTTCCCATCATTTTTGTTTTTTCCAGGAGGCTCCAGTTTCTTTCTTTGTGGTTACAATTCTTCTGAAGCTGGCTAGGTGACCCTTCTCACTGCAGTGTGCTATTGAGGTGCAAATAGGGACAGCATATGCTGGCCCCTCCCCTCTGGGTCAGTCAATGTGCTGAGGCCCTCACTGCATTAGGGTGTCCTGCCGCCATAGGGAATTGATTATGGATAACCTATTGGGTCTCAGCCAGGTCACGTGACCCATGCCAAACTCACTCCACCAATCCTGTTTGGGAACGGAACAACTGACTGCCGTCACTGCTGCCCCTTGTTCTTGCCAGTCCTGCCTGGTCCCAAAATGTTGTCTGTTCGAGTCCCTTGTTCTGTGGAATGGTTTTATTCCCATCACTCACCACAGGTCGATTCAGTTTCCCTGCTAGCTCAGCTCTCTGTTCAGCTCGCCGACCCCGACTTCAGTGTTTCCAGTGAGTCTAAGCGGCAGAATTTCAGACGACTTAGTAAGCCACCACCATACAAGTTCGGGCACTGCAGTAGGAGCACTGAACCTTTAGCTGTTCCAATAGTAGAACCGGGACTATACGTTTGATTGGTTCTTCTCACCTTAGTTTCTTACTGGGACGAGAGAATTCATCTCCCTCTGTTTGGGACTCCGCATACTGTATTATGTTGAATTGTAATTTGACTATCTCAGGGAGCCCCTGTAGCCTGCTGTTATCTATCTGCCATCGTCGCTCCTTCCTAAACTTATATTTTGGGTGTTCTTTTTACAATCTTCTTCACCAGAACAGTTAGCAGCTACCCTGGCCTCAATGTACCACACACACCTCAGTGTAACTACTAGAAATGCTTCAAAAAACACCCCAATGCTCCTTAGAGGGAAAATCATTAAAACATTACTAAAGGAGCTTCTGCTATGAGACTATTTATGAAGTCTTAAGGAAGAAATGAGAAGCACCCAAGTGGTAAATAATTAATAGAGACTTTTTTTCCTATATATTTCCTTTAAATGCATACACTGTACACAGAAAAAATTCTAACATATGCATTGCTATTCACACTGTACAGAGATCTGATACATTAATGATTAATGGCATAAAGGATAACATTGAGTCACTGTTCATTTTATAGTGAAGTTACTATAATATTAATTCTAAGAAGGTGGGCTCGAGATTTAGCTCAGCAGCATAAGCACCTGCCTTACAAGCAGGTAGTTGTGAGTTCAATCCCCGGTACCGATAAAAAAAATAATAATAATTCTAAGAAGGCTAAAATATTAGAAGTTTATATATTATCCTTATAATAACCACTTTGGGGAAAATGCAAAGACAAAACAAACACAGGATACAATTAGTAAAACGGCAGTCTTAATCCAACCTTTTATATTAAATGTAACCTGAGGGCCAGAGGTTTAACTCAGCAGCATAAGTAGCAAGCGTGAGGTCATGAGTTTGATCCCTGGCACCAAAAATAAATAAATAAATAAATAATAAATGTAAATTGACCAGTTACTCTAATTTTCAATTAAAAGGAAGAGTGGCAGAATGAATTTTAAAAAGCAAAACTGTATGCCAGTTAGAAGTAACATTATAAATATAAAGACATGGAAAATAAAAGGGTGAAAACAGTTAAGCTACAAAAACAAGATGGTTAGGATGTCTATTTATATCATATATAGTAGATTTCATGATAAATATGTATTTACTAGCAAATAAGACAGACATTTCATAATGATGAAAAGAATCATTTTTCAGAAAATATGACAATCACCACTATAAA